TGCTCCTGAACCGACCCCGACTGGAAACAACACACACACACACACACACACACACACACACACACACACACACACACACACACACACAATGAATTCACTCCGTACAATATTTTGTCACCTGTTTCATTTGTTATGATTTTAATATTTTGATGAAATTATATTTTACAGAAAAGTGTTTGAATTCCAGTTCTACATGTTTGTGTTTTCTTTTTATTCATTGAGTTTCTTTGTGGTAAGAGTTTGATAACTACATCTTAGGAATTACGATTATTATTATTTAGATAATCCAGATTCTCACCTACTGCTGTTTCTTCTACTCTGTGAGAAATGCTTTATTATTTTAATCTAATAATTGATGTAATTAATGAATGTGTGTGTGTGTGTGTGTGTGTGTGTGTGTGTGTTCTAACAGACTAACAGATCTGAGGGAGTGAAGCTAAAATAGAAACAGGAAGGAAGTGACATTTGCTCTCTCTCTTTCTCTGTCTCTCTATCTGTCTATGTCTCTCTTTCTGTCTCTGTCTCTCTGTCAATCTCTCTGTCTGTCTTTGTCTGTCTCACACACACTCGTGTCCTCTCACCGGCTGCAGACCCTCTGCCATCTCTCCAGAGCCGATGTGTGTGAGGTGGATGAAGTTTGTCGGCTCTCCGATCATCGTGCGATCAATCTTCCTCCTCTTCTTCTTCTACACAAACACACACATTAGTAACGATGTAAAAAGAGAAGAATAAAATCTTGAATGTTTAGTTTTAGCAGGACAGTATTTTTCAGAATAAAAGCTTCAGACAGTGAAGCTGTTCCGGAGGAAGGTCTGTGACAATACAGGAGTCTGTGCTGCGTTCAGGGACAGTCTGAGCTCTGTCAGACCCTGAACACCTCATTGAAATCTCCTCTGCTGCAGTTGATGTTTGTCAGGATTATTCTTACGTAACAGCAGAAGGTTGTAGGTAGAAGGTTATAGTCTGACATTTGCTCGTTAATCTCTTTCGTCTCTCTCATCAGTTTAAGATCCAAACCTCTGACCTGTGACCTGCTCCACTCTCGTTAACTCACAGGAAGTGACTTCTGTCATTTGTTAATGTTCATCATCACTAACGACTACAGCCTCTGTGATTTAAGATATTCATATGTCGATATTTTTCACAGCTGTTGATACACAGAGACTAGAAGACTCCAACATGGCCGACGGAGACGTGGTTACATCAGCAACAGAGAGTTTTACTGTGGAGGAAGGAGTGTGTTCCTGTACTTATATCTTTGTGAGGACCATTTTAAGCATAGAACCTACAGACTGAGGACATTTTGTCTGGACCTCACTTCTTCTGTTTGATGGTAAAGACTTGGTTTTAGGGTTAGGATCAGGTGTAAGTTAGGTTAGGTTATGGTTAAGGTTTGGGTTAAGGTTTGGGTTTGGGTTAAGGTTAGGCATTTAGTTGTGATGGTTCAAATTAGGGTTAGAGACGAGAGAATGCATTATGCCAATGAGTGTCCTCACTAAGAATACCAAACGTGTGTGTGTGTGTGTGTGTGTCTCACAGGTGTTGGTTTAGCCACCACACAGCAGCCCATCTTGTGCCAGAAGTCGCTCATGCTGATGCTCCGCCTCTCCAGCTGCCAGCTGCTGCTCTCTGCTGCCGCTCTGCAGGCCGAATGAAGAGCTGCAGCCTGAGGGTAATCCTGGGGCATTCAGTCAAACGAGCTGCACGCAGACGCTGATGCTCAGAGGAAGAGGAATAAAACCCGCAAAAGATCCTGGCTCCGACCGAACGCTGGACTCCAGGAGGGTAAAACAAGTCTGATAAAATTCCACAAGTTCTGACAGGAACAAAAAATGTCCCGACGAGATCCTGGAGATCCACTGATTTGTTGGTGTTTTTGTTGCAACCAGATGAATTTTTTTTCCCAGAATTAACGTTTAAAATCCAGAAAGAGCTTCAGGTTTGATCTGTGGAGACAGAGCAAGAGAAACACATTTGATTCTTGTTTGATTGGTAACAGAAGTGTTTTTTTAAACTGTGGTTCCGTCAGAGTGAATCACTCGTGTGATGATTCATCACGTTCCTGAACCTGCTGCTTGTGTCACTTCATCTTTCACAGCACGGTTTGTTCTTTTCTCACTAAAACAACGGCTGAACTTGTTTTGTTCCAGGTTCTGAAAGTGTCACTTTTCAAAACTGCAGAAAAAATATATCAAATTTGATTAAAACATGTCCCCACAATGATAGAAGAATAGAAACACCCCGAGAACGTCCTCACATGAAGTCTATGTCTGTCTGTGTCTGTGTCTCTGTCTCACAGGAGAACATCTGGAGTCCATCCAACACATTTCAGCAGATAAAGAAAGAGTGTGAAAGACACAGAGACATGTCTCGTCTCGCTTCACATTCACAACTAATCTGCACTGAGGAATTTAACTCTGCAGCCACTGTCAGAGAGGACAGACAGGGATGTCTCTGCTGAGAGAGGACAGACAGAGACATTGGAGCTTAATTGTCAAATCTAACCTTCATTCTGCTTCCTGTCTGATTTTTGGGTTTCTCTGAAACTCACCATGTGTCACTCTGCCACTAGGGGTCTCCCTCTCAGAGGTCAGAGGTCAAAGTGATTCAGTCCCTAACGTATGTTTCTCTGAAACTTAACATCCGGACGTCTGCTTCAAATATAGAGTTGAAAACCACCAAGATATAAAAAGTGTCTTGTAAAAGTGAAACTGGACAAAAATCTTTGACTCTTCTGACAAATGCTGACACATGAACAAAGAGGACATGACGCCACCAACTGGCGACCAAATGAAACGCACTGTTACTTTGATTAATACTAAAGATGTCTGCAGGTTTGAAAATATGACTTTTATATATATACATGGAAAACAGATTGAACGATGGTCGGACATCTTATATTAAACCTTGAACTGAAGAAGAGACTGAAACAGAAAATAAAGTTGTGATGACATCATGTCATCATCATCACCTGATCTGTGGTCAGCTGCTCATCAGACTGAAAACAAACAAACGACAGTGAACGTCACATGATCGAATCAGCTGAAATCTTTATTTAAACTCAGGTGACAAACAAACTGACTGTTCAGACTCAGCTCTGACGCTTACATCACAGATCAAAGTTCAAAGAGACACACCTGTGCAACCAACCAATCAGAAGCCACCACAAGGTCACATGACTGACACTCAGCAAATGATCTATATCACCCCCTGCTGGCCAACTGGAGTAAGGTCATTAACCCCTCCTCCTCCATGTTAGCAAATGGGACATGGACCAAAAAAAAAATCTATGTAAACGCCAAAACCTGTATTAACAGTATACAGTCAGTGATCATCTTTATATACAGTCAGTGATCATCTTTATATACAGTCAGTG